ACCTCATTTCTATACAACAGTGTACAAGTTGTACGGCAACGGCCTTTGGCTGTGTCTATGCAGGATGGACGCATGTGAACTCAGTGAAGAGTTTCTATGAAGAAGAGAAATCTGTATTTGCTGCGAGAAAAGAAACTTACTTTTTGGCGTGGGCAAAGGAGAACCGGGCGTTGCTGTGTTCAGAGGTGCGGCGGAAATAAGTCGAAATGTTCATCTTTTTCTGTTTTTTTTTGAACGAAAGAACAAAGAAAGGTCCATTTGATTGAATTTATTAAATAATTTCCAGTTTTGGTTCAGATTATTACGGTGAAACACCTATTGGGTGATGTGTATTTCTTCGTTTTGCAGATATACCCGTTGCTGAACAGAATGACGAAAAAGAAAGGAGAAAAAAATGTTTATGTACTCGACAGAACTTCTGAGTTTCTGTTTTTTGAAATCATCAAGAAACGTATTCTCGTCGCTGGTGCAAGAGTTGCAGTTGTGATGAACTATATTCTCCAGGTATGCAGAGGTGATCACATGAGCTGCCTATACACCTGAAACTTGAACGGCGTGCAGAAACTTTTTCTTGCATTACCGCTTTCTGTGGCTGATCGGGCGAAACCTGCATTATAAATCAATTTTTTTGGAGTGTAATTATATGTTAATTATTTATTTTTAATTGAAAAGTTTAAAAAGATTTCTTTGATGCTCAGTTTCTCTCAGTTTCCCTCTTTTTCTTGCACAGGTTCGCGGGTTGGATGAAGGGCTTGGGCAGCTCCGCGCAGGCAGCGGAATGCAAGATGTTCGTAAGTCTATGTTTCTTGATCAGAATTTTCTTTTTTTTTAATGAAACTTAATTATATTTCAGTTTATACACCTCTAGAGACGCGTTTGCATGCATGCATGCTGATGATCGCGCCATTTACAGCGAGGTTTCCCTCTTTTTAGCGGTCAGCTGGCGTTCATGTTTTCTGTTTTTTTGTGAAACGCAGAGGAAACGGCGGACGTTCGGTCTTCGTCTAGCGGCGACAGTTACGTGTATTTGCATAATTTCCTAATTAATTTCTCGATATTCCTTTTAGTAATATTATTCTTTGTTTATATTTCGCGGTTTCACCGCGGCAGTTCTACCCAAGCTCCGGTTCCCTCGCGTTCGGCCAAGACAGCCGACGGGGCAGAGCTCATGCAAGCCAAGGCCAACTGAAGCAACTTGCTCAGTGCTTTCTGGCGTTGCTACGCAGCAGCGCGGTTGCGCCCCCCTTCTCCCTTGCACAGAGGCGTGCAGACAGACGATGCATGCAAGAGGAGGTAACATACATATTTCACTCCGCAGAAATTCCTCTCTCCGTAGAGAAACCACGCGGATCCTCGTTTTCCTGTTTCAATCTGAGCTCAGTTTCTTTCGCTGCGTTTGTAGTCTGTGGCTACAAGAGCCCCCCACTTATATACTACTATATATATATATATATATATATATATATATATATATATATATATATATATATATATATATA